CGAGAGAGAGAGAGAGAGAGAGTTAGAGAGAGTTAGAGAGAGAGAGCACATACAGCAGCTGTACGGAGCAGCGTGCACATGAGGAGATATACTCACCGTCTGCTTTTGCATCCGCATCACCCTGATCACACGCGTCACTACATACAGAGAAACGCACGTTACAACGACTTCTGTGCATCAAATAATCATGACTACCATCACAACAGCTTGTGCTTCAGTCTCATCTTTGCCAAGCATTCTTACTCTTTCACATGAAGTGCATTCAGCTTCTGTCCAGAAACAAACATGTCAAAATGTTTACTAATATTTCAGCACATTTGGTGGTTTTATGCTTCACATGAGCACTTGAGAACTCAGAGCTCATACAGTGTGTCAAACAGGTGAAGCACATCAGAAAGTGATCGCAATGATGACTAAAATAATCGCTTTGAAAGATTTGTTTTAGGAATATTTAAAATTCTATACGCAGCACAAGTAATGATGTTCATGAGAGCAGTAACTAACAGGATAAATTAAGGTGGATGATGTGCTGACAATATACTGAAATTTTTCTCAGGAAGGATCATGTTCAAAGTACTCTTTTTCATGTTGGGTTTTGAGACTATTTTGCAGACTAAGCTACTGAGCAGTACAGCCAAACTTGCCCATTTTCCCATTTAAATAGAGAAAGCCGTACAAAGTAACAAAACAAAATGACAGTAATGTGTCACTATAGCTATGTTTCCATCACCCTGTTTTTATGAGCATTTTGAAGCATCGCATCAGAAACGAGTGATGGAAACGGCAAATTTCGAATAAGAATACCTTAATTCACAAAAAAGTTTACACGCTCGCTTGAGGTGGTTTTTGACTTGTGCAAAAAAGGGTTCAGGCGAATAAAAGATGGAAACGCATTTGCCAAGTGAATTCCTCCATGCACATCAAAAAAGTAATGTGACTGCACTATAGGACGGCAAAACCTGACTAACCAGTGGACCGATCTCGTTCCTCAGCATCTGAAATGTTATGGTCATTTTGAAATGTCCGAGCAAAGTCTGTCATCACGTATTTCTGTATAATTGCCTCCCAGAATTGTTACACGACTGCGTTCCCAAACAGCAGCATCCATAAGTGTAAGGTTCATATTGTAAACCTTGCACAATGTAGATCATAACCTGGACCCATACTTTTTTTTTTCCCTCACAGCCCTCAATTTGCACACGGTTTCATAGACGTTTTCTTTTCACTTAGAGGAAGCATTATTATTGATTATTATAATTTCTCATTCTGACGGCACCCATTCACTGCAGAGCATCCATTGCTGAGACACTGATGCAATGCTACATTTCTACAAACCTGATGTAGAAACAAACTCATCATAATCTTTGATGGCCTGAAGGCGAGCACATTTTCATCGCCCCTGAGCAAACGCAGCGGTCTCGGGGCAGATGATGATGTTGTGTGGCTGACACTCACGTCTCTCTGGTGTCGGGGACAGCGCAGCAGCTGCTCTGGATCAGGGATGTGCTGGGATCCCGCAGCACTGCTGTGCTCTCTATCTGTCCCAGCAGACTCTCTCTAGATCCACTCACGCTCTCGGGTCGGGAGCCGCAGGCTGCACTGGGTAACGGAGCGGTCAGCGGATGGCTCGCTTCTGCCACACTGCTGTCCCATTTCCCAGCATGCCCTGCGGAGTGCTCCGTCTGAAACTGCAGGCCTGTCTGAGGCCTGGAGGACCACACTGGCTCAGGGGCTTCAACTCTGTGGAACGCCGCTCCCTGCAAATCAACAATGAAAGTGTAAGAACTTATTCACTCTTTGAAACGACTTCTGCTAATGAAACCTAGAGCTACGCGTGTGGAGGAAAAATGTATCAAGTCAACTTAATTTGTATATAAATACAGGGATGAATATAAGTTTTTCAGGCTGGTTCTCGAGAGCACTTGGAGATTTGTTTTGGTGCTCACACTGCAGTGTGACCCATTAAAAATAACCATAAAAAAAATGAATAACAGTAATAGTATTACAATTTTATTTTAAATAAAATTACATTGAAATCAAAAAAATATATAATGCTAATATTTATTTTCTTTTATTTCTTTACTTTTTTTTTATATGATTTTTTCATTTTCAAACCTAAAATCAGCAAGCTTTTATTTTGGTGGGTTGGTGGCAAGTACAGACTACAGTGCAATATTGGCAGCCTTGGTAAATATAAGCAAAGATGGCTGTGAAACTAAATCTGCATCGTTTACCTTTTTGATCTTTCATTCAAAATATTCTAAGTGGAAAGTGGGGGGAAAATCTCATTATGAAATAAATGTTTTTCTCTAGTTTACATTAGCCACAATTATTGGCATCCAACGACCTTTTCCCAAGATAACAGCTCTGAGTTTTCTCCTATAATGCCTGAAGAGTTTGGAGAACACCGGACAAGAGATCGGAGACCATTCCTTCATCCAGAATCTCTCCAGATCCACAGCTCCTTCTCTTCAGTTCACCTCACTCATTTTCTACAGGGTTCAGGTCATGGCAGAAGCTTCATTTTGTGCTCAGCGACACATTTTTGTGTTGATTTTGAAGTTTGTTTTGGATCATTGTCCTGATAGAAGATCCAACCACGGCCCATGATAAGATTTCTAACAGAGGCAGTCATGATATTTTAAGGCTTTCTGACCCCAAGACTCAACTAATCTCTGCAATTCTCCAGCTATGACGAGTCTTTGGCCACTCAAACAAGCTCTGCACACATGTGATGGATGATTAAGGGAACTTAGCCTTTGTGTTCCTCATATTTATAATCCTGTGGCACAGGAAGCCATGGCTCCTAGTCACCCTGGTGTGCTAAAACAAAATTATAAATACGAATGGGAATATACTTCAGAAATATTACTCAATAATTGTGGCCAACATGCATTGGAGAAAAACACTTATTTCATAATGCGAGTTTGTTTTACTTCAATGAAAGGTTAGAATTTTGAGAATTTTTCTGAACGAAAGATCGAAAGGATAAATGATGCAGATTTATTTTCACAGCCGCCTTTGCTCATATTTACCAAGGGTGCCAATATTAGTGGAGGGCACTGTATGCATATGCACTCAGTTTCAGCACTGCCGAGTGAAGAGCGTAAGTGAATGAAATGTCAGTTTTGCGTATTTGCTCTGAAACCCCGCAGCGCATGGCCTAGATTTACACTTTTAGTTCCAATGGACGTCTTATACAGTATTACACTTAGTCGATCTAAAACGGTGATTGTGCATGAATAGCGGTCAACCATGTCGGTACTCAAATGAGCGTCTGAAGATATTTATTTACCCAATGCATTTTTTATTTCGCCCACTTATGTGCATCCCTGTACATACACATCATAGCTGACTTTTCATGATCCAATCAATAACGTGATAATGTGTTTCTGTTCATTCTGACACCTTCAGCTTCCCTAATTCTCACAAATCTGTTTTTATATAACAGTAAAAGCTCTTTTCATGTAATCTCAATGTTACATTGAGTTATGTTTATCAATAAAAAACATATAGACCTGCTTTATAGGAATTTATATAGTACAGGCTTATGCTGAACTTTATTCTTGTACAGGCGCTGTATTAAGCGGTTCCTGTTCCTTCATGAACACCTCGGATATGTCTGTGTATTTGACAAATATTGCATTTAATATTACATTAGTTGCCCACCTAAAAAGTGTCTATTTGACAATATTTCTGTTTACATCAATGAGCTTGGCTTTGTTTTTTTAATTGTTGTGTTTGTCATTAAAAATAGTAATGGACAATAAACTAAGCATTCGTTTAAAGTAAGGGAGAAATCCAAAGACCTTTCATTATTTGTGTGTACATATGGAGCCACAGACATGACATGCAGGGGGGGAAAATGTGCGGTATTACACCGTTGTTGTCACAAGTTAACTACTCGGTGGGGAATTATCCTCACTGTGGCATCCCTACAGCAGGGTGTGTTCGTCAGAACGAGATATTTACCGTAAGAGAAGCCTTCGCTGGATTTCTCTGCTCTGCTGGCTGTAGAGTCACATTCATCTCCAGATCATCCAAGAGCTGCTTCATCTTCCTCACCTCCTCTTCCTCTTCCCAAAGCCTGCGCTGCTTCTCAGCTGATCAAACAACAGGCATTACAGCAACACACATAAGAGGTGGAAGAAAAGCTCTGCATAGATCTGGGCTCGAGTCAGTCCATGTGAGGTTCATCTGATCGTGTGTCTACTGTACACTCAGAGCAGAAAACTAAACACCATTTAGATTTGACACATTGGCAGCTTATGCGGTGCAATTTCACACATCTTCTCAATAAAGTACCCATCAACATTACAGTAATCCACACATCAATTAACATCTGTGAAATTAAAAGCTGTGTATAAGAAACAAATCCATCATCAGTCCATAATAACTCTTCCTCCAGTGAAAAAGTGCATCTGCTGTTGTCTCTCTCATCAGAATCCAGCCACATATTTGTTTAGAGCTGTTTAAACGCTGCTTGATATGTGCAGATTTCTCTCCTGATTCAGACCAGAACACTTTTTCACTGGAGGAAGCGTTATTTTATTATGGATTATAGACTCAATGTATTTTAGTTAAAAACGTCTTAATGCTGGATTTGTCTCAGCTTTTGTCTTCTCCAGATGTTACCTGATGGACTGGAGTGCTGTGGATTACTTGTGGATTATTGTGATGTTTTTATCAGCTGTTTGGACTCTCATTCTGACGGCACCCATTCACTGCAGAGCATCCATTGCTGAGACACTGATGCAATGCCATATTTCTCCAAGCATGCGTTTGATCAGTGCATGTGTAGTGTAGGAAAGTCTTCTCACCCAGTTGGCGCTGTTCCTCCTGTTGCCTACATTTAGCAAAGTAGCGTCTGGCTCTGAGCTCCTCAAAAGACAGCTCCGATCCCTCACACAGCAGCTCATTCACACAGTACATGGACACACACTCCACGATGTTACCGCTGCCTGTCCGGACCGGGTTATTCTCCGAGCGCGAGATTCTGAGATTGGGGATCATTTACAACACTATCGTCATCACGACCACTGCACAGTCCTCTGCTGAATCTTACACTGAACAGGGAGTGCAGGGGTTTGACAGGAACTACTGAACATGAAGCCCATGTCATAAACACTTACATTCGCACCATTCTAGGAGCAGGAGAGGGCTCTTCTGGATCCTGCAACAGAAAATAAAAACTCAAGCTTAGTGAAACACTGAGGTTAAAATGTCACAGTTTTAAGAAGGATTGAAAACAAGTCTAATAAAATACGCAGATGCGACTTGTGCTGCATATTTTAAGTGTTCTGAAGGAATATCATTGACTGCAATCGTTGCTCACTGAGCACGACTGCATAAAAAGGAAAAAGCACACTACAGCGTCATTTTAAAGGGGTCATATCATGCTGCTAAAAAGAACAGTATTTTGTGTATTTGGTGTAATGAAATGTGTTTATGCGTTTTAAAGTT